AATATAGGGGAAAGGGTAACTTCAAAATATTATATTTTACATAAATATTGACACAATCACGCTATACGTTTTGTATTTTTGTATATAGATGTATTTTTGTATATAGATACATAGATTTTATGTGAATGTAAGTGTGAATGCGATAAATGTGCGCTACTTTTTTATGATATCTAACAGAAATTTTAATCAAAATATATATAAACATTTTTTCACAAATTTTTGACATATTTTTTGTTCTTCGAATTTCATTGAAAAGGTATAAAAATCCCTTTAAAGAGATGCCAAACGTAAAAACTTTACTGATAAAATACTGACTTCTTTCTGCAAAGTTTATGTCTATTAGCTGCACATTATAATTATAAATGTTTTTGCACAATAAAAACACGAACGAAAATGCATTGGAGCATTGTTTGGTATGTAACGAAAACGATTAAAAATTTCAAAATTGACGTCTCTAGCTGTCAGTTAGCCTCAATATTTAACTGATACAGAAACCCTGCAGTTTATATATTCTGAATGTGTCAACGCCCCAATTAGAAACATTTCCAAGAATATTTATTATACCTTCAATTAAATTTAAAGACTTAAAAGGATACGAAAAGTTTATGGAAACATTTTTATATATCTTGGTTAGATTTTTCGTTAGAAATGGTAAAACGGAGTAACATTCACATTGCATTCATACATTTATCTCACTTACATTTATGTAAGATCTATATACATGAAAAATACAAGGAGAATAGCGTAATCTTGTCAGTGTTTATACAATATAACCTTTTGAAGATCGCCTTTACGACGCTTATTAAATTTCTCATCGGCTTTGGCACACTCTTAACACCTGTTTAATAAGATTAGATGGGGCACGTAGAAACGAAATCATGTGTTTGCGTGATAGTTATGGTACTTAATTGTCGTAATTTTCAAGATGTTTATTAGACGATTTTTATTCTCATTTCTCGACGGCTTAACTTGAACCCCTTTGAGTCTCTTATTTGATACAGAGCGAGCACTTGATTTGATTCCGGCAATCGGATATTAACGTTATTCGCAGGAAGGGACAATAATTATGATGTTGTCCGCCGCCCTTTGACTTTTTGAAAACGCGTCGAACGGAGAGGGACAAAGTCATTATACCCGGAATTATTTCATAATTAAATCGGCGAATAAAAGCGTCCCTCTGCTGTACGCAGACCATGGAGAGGATTTGAAACCGGAGGGCTAAAGGGAACGGACGAGTTGATTTGCGGGAGAGGGAAGGTTGAGAAAAAGAAATGAGGGAAAGATAAAGGTGGTGGAAAAGTGAACGACAGAGCGGACCTCGCAACCGGTTGTAAAGTGTCTTCGGAAGCAGGGAGAACCTAGCTAGAAAAAAAGAGCAGGGAAGGAGAGAACACCGAGAGAGAGAGAGAGAGAGAGAGAGAGAGATAGAGAGAGAGAAAGAGAGAGATAGAAGGGGACGAAAGGGGAGGCTGGAAACTTTAAAAAGTTATTTAAATTAAATAGACTGCGCGAAGAGCGAGGACGATGCGCGAAGAAGAGCGCGAGAGATAGGGGAGGCGACAAGAAAAACGAGATAAGGGTTGATTGCGAGAGGGTAAACCCGGAGGGACGGAAGAGGGCAGTCTCGACGGTATTGATAGCGGCAACATACCCGGCTGAAAAGCAAGCGATGTCTCTCGTTTTGGGAAAGCGAGAGCTGGAGTATTAAAAGGTGTCTCCGACCTCCTTCCACCCTCCTCCCTTCCAGCCATCCCTTCCTTCCTACTTTTTAACGGTGCCGGGTACCCGCAGGGCTCGAATATGCGGCATAGGCTCTTCCAGGAGACCTAAAGGAGCTCCCTTCGCAGTCGCTATCTCGTATCTCGTTTCGTTCTTCTGGATCTCTGGCAGTCAAACAGGCAGGCAAAGGGATGGGGGAGGGGTGGTGGAGAAGGAGAATATGAGGTAGTCCGATAATAACTCCCCTTAATGCTTTTTTACTAGCACATCCTCTTCCCCAGATGGGAGCGGCTGTTAATATTCGTGAAACCACCGTTCTCCGCGACGCTTCCTTCGGCATTTTATAATACGTGGAACCGCGGGGTTTTACGTAGGGTTGTTGCCCTACAATTCGCCCTAAGAACGTGCCTAGCCGAGAGCGCATCGATTGCGACGATAGGCACGACGAGGGATTATAAATCGCATGAACCGCCTATAAATTGCTCGTCGGCAATCTGAAACGATGACGCTGGCACGCTGCGAGTATTGGAGAATGGAATTTCACGTATCGACGAGATTAAGCTTGAAGAGAGCGTTGCTTACATTACCGTACGTAAAAATTAATTACTTCCCGAATTAAAATTATATTTTTTGGTTCCATATTAAACCTTCAGGCTTCTCTCTTCGTTCTCTCTCTCTCTCTCTCTCTCTCTCTCTCTGAATCTGCATCTTTCTAGATTTGTAATAGGTGTCATAAGCCTTTAAGCCTTACACAAAAACGTAAGCAGTAAACAAATTGATTAATCACAGTTAATTATTCTTTGACTGTAAGGAGAATAATCGACTATGATTAGTCAATTTTCTTCCTACTTAAATTCTACTGTTTACGTTCTTCTGTGTTCCACGATCCTTAGTCTTTTGTTTTAAGCATTAATTGCAACGTAATTTCTGATGTTGTCACAGATATCGCAATTCCTAAGATTCAAGCGTTATTATGACTTTTGGCAGCGCGAGAAACGCCTTTTTTTCAGAAGTTACGTTATATTTTATCATTTTGAGTAAAAGATTAAAGGCTTACTATATATCTGTGATAGATCTGAACTTAATTCTTCAATACAGTAGGAGCTAAGATAGCAATAGGTTCACACACACAATTCTAACAATATAATTCACTTTTACTTTGGGCCTGATGATGTCTTAAATTTCTGTTTCCGCTGTTTTAGCATCAAAATAAATTGCTCAAGGTAGTATTAAAATGAAATCTATATAATTAAAGATCCAACAGAGAAGTTAATAAGTCTATGTACTGTTTACATACAGTCAAAATAGTTTTTTTTTTACCAGTTTACAAAGTATCAGAGTAGGCGCAAGCTATCTATCCTTAAGAGCGTCAATAGCTTTAAAATTTCGGCTCAGGTTCGCAAGCACCTGTAAATTCATGAAATTCTTACCCTATGTTAAACCTTTAGTTCTACAACGCAATAGATGATGAAATAGAAAAATAGGTTCTTCAATTTCAATAACATAATTTACTTCTATTTATATCCCGATGATATGTCTCAAATTTTCGTTTTCCTTGTTTTAGCGTCAAAATAGATTCGTTCAAGGTAGTCTTAAAACGTGAAATCTGTAAAAATGTAAGGCTCAACGGAGAATTTAATAAGTGCCGATATCATTAAAGCGGAATTACGTTTATTAGTTTATAGGCCGTCTGAAGTAAGCGCAAGTATCCTTGGAGTATCAAAATTACGACTGGCGTTGTTTCAAATCGTATCTCAAAGCGCATTTACGAGTCGAGTCGCTTACTTTCGCACCTTCGTTATTCCCCGAGGATTCCGATAAGACAGTCCGCGAGTCGTACGTTTCTGCACAATTTCAGGCGTGAGGAAAGTTCCGCTCGACGTCACTCAGCGTGGACGCGGTGATTTCCATAACAGCTCAACTTTTTATTATCCGCGCGCGCGCGCGCGCGCGCACGCTTGATTCTGCGGAAAACTCACGAGACTCCGGATCCGGCGACGTATTTAAGCGAAAAATCCCCCGCGTTCGTCGCGTGTAGCGCCGTAATGTAGGGACCGAAGATCGCTTTATCATCGCGATTCCCGCGGAGAACTTCGCGAAGTAATATCTATAAGGTCGGGCCGCCGAGAGGCTCGCGACGAGATTTATCGAGGCCTCGTAAAACCTTCATTACGACCGAACTTCGTTATCCGCGTCTCCTGTCTCTCGAGTTCTCACGAACGGGTATCACGACGAGTCGCGCGAGTTAGCTTATCCGAGTGACCTCGTTTGACCCGGCTCGATCGATCAGAGTGAGATCGATCGATCGTTCGATCCCAACTCATTTCCCGGACCCGAAAGCAAACGCGACGGAGGCATTAAATTCTCGATAAAAGCGGGAAGCGCATCCCGCGTTACATCCTACGAGGCCCTCCGGGGAGCTTCGGTTACCGCGAAGAGTTTCGGCGGAGATGATGGACAGGCCAACGAAACTTCGGTATTGTTTTATCTTTCATGTTCCGTGTCGAGAAGCCCTCGTACTTTTATTAGCTTTTCGGCGATGACGTGAAACCGACGAACATGATCGGCCGAATAGGTAATCGAAGGCAGAAAGGTAGCTGAGGATAATAAATAATCCAGCTCATGGCCACGAGAGAAACGAAATAATGAACACTGTCACTGTCCGCGGGATAACCGACGTAACGATGCGGCCGAGAAACTTCGACAAACAATAATGAGCTAACGTGAATAGCGCATTTAGAAAACTAATTATTTCTCAAGTAATATTACAAGTATGTATATAATAGCAGACTTTATTAATCGGGCATATTAATATGAGCGGGCCACATACAGAAGTGTTTAAATATATTGGACAATGCTACGATGAGTATTTCAATTCGAACGTGTGTCACGTTTGCAAGTCGGTAGATATAGGCAATTTTGTATTATGCGATCGATAATGCTTGACTAACACACAAAGATAACACACAAATATTTGTTTATATATGATTCAGTGTATATATCTTACTGGGTGTTTCGATTTTATACATATATTGCTCTGTTTGAAAATGGATATTTGTAGCTTCAGCAACTTCCAGTTATATTTGAAATCAACAACAGTCATCGGCTGAGAAATATATATAAACACGTAATTATTGTCTTTGGAGCAGTCGTCTGACCGTCCGTATTGAACGTCAATATAAAATTTTGTTACCGCCGCTGACGGAGTTGAGAATCGCTCGAGATTGTTCAAATGATGTCACAAATTATGCACAAGAACGCTTAAAGAGACGCATATAGATATGAGCAACCCGAATAAACAGGTCTTTGAATACCGTGGACCACGCACCGCTGAACGTTACAATCAGTTCTTCAACCCGAACATTTGTCATGTTTGCAAATCGGTGAGAAAAGACAATTTTATATCATGCGATCAATGCTGCTTGATTTTATACTGCAACGAGGAGCACAAAGCGGAGCACCGAGCTAAACATGCGGAAAGCTGTGCAATTCTAAAGCAAGTCTTACAAGAGAATCCGCAGGAATACATGCGCAGTTTCAGCGACTGGCAACACTGGATTCAATCAAGAGAAAAATTATTGATAGCAGTTGCAATGAAATTATGCCGTCCGATGGAGCAATACGAGAAGCAGATGATCTTGTGGTCTAAAACATGTGTAGTTTGTTACTTACAAACTGAACTTAAGACTTGCCAAAGATGCTTCTCCGCTAACTACTGCGATGTGCACGCAAACGCCTTTCGCAAGAAACACAATGAAGCTCTGTGCAGTCAGTTAATGCTATCGTTGAATATAGATATTGAAACTATCGTTGATAATGTAAGTCCCATATCGTACGATTTCCTTTCGTTCATCAATAGAAACAGTTACTTCGAAGAGATGCTTGAATTTTGTATCGAACACATATTAACGCGAAGAGAAGAAAATATGGATTGGATCGCTAAAGACTACGTTCTCTCGGATTATCTTTCAGAACCGCTGACAATTTATTTCGGGTTCAAGCAATTATATTTATTACTTTTCATAAGGACACCTGTTTTTGTTATCCACCTTTTAAGAACTGATTCTTTGGATATACGCGGCTTACCCGCTTGGGAAATTTTGTTACACCTCATACCTGAAATCATAGAACTAGAAATTGTGATGATAATATCAGAATTAGAATTATATGATCCTTACATATGTAACCTTTGTAATCATTGCACGCGTATGAACAAAAAGCTTTCTTTTTATTTTATTCGCATGAGGTATGGCAATTATGCAATTTCATCAGTAAGATATAAAATACCACGTGTGATTTTTGTATTTCTCGTAGATTTTAACAAGCAAAATCTATTATTTGAATTGAAGGAACTATTGATTAATCTACCTTGTCCCTTATTTATAAGCTTCACACACAAACAGAAAGCCCATAATTTCATAATTAATGTAAAAGAAGCCTTGAATATGAATATAGAACCTGAATTAAATAGAATAAATCATTTCAGTGGTCTTGTACCGCACAAAAACAAAGAAACTGGTAACACTTATTTTCGTAATGAATATTTAATTATATATACTATGTATTCACGATATGTACAGGTTAATATAAAAAATACTAGGGCAAAATTGTAACACGATTTTATTAACATTATAATAAACAGGATATAGGTTATGTTATTATTATGCATGAATTGTTGATGGTTCTAATAAAATAAAGATTATCCCATTTTCATGACAGTTGCTTTGTTTTTTATTTTGAAAGAATTACCCCAGTTGTAAATATGATTGTATAATAACAAAAATGCCTTATATTTAATTCAGCAAATTCTCTTGAGACGGATCGTAGGGTTACAATGATAAAAACTGCATAATACAGTTTGACAGATAAGAAATTCCATATTTTCTCGTTTTCTTTATGTTTTATTTTCCCTATTTGAAGACTGGGACATGTAGTGAGAAATTTCGGAACATTATTTCACAAAATTACCACAATATCCCAAAATAATTTAGTTTCATTTTATCTGAAAAATGCGAAATTACTGATTACACAAACCAATATTTACAAGAATACGCATAATGGTGTTTCTTACTGATTTGAATCATATTAAATATATTATAAAACATCCAAAAATAGGAGATAGGAATTTCGAAGTATGCGACATATTTTTACGTGGAATCATATACGCTTAGTATAAGGAATAGTTTAACATCTTTTTCCGATTCACTAGAATCTTGCAATCACATGCATCTGGTATACATTCATTTATTTATTATTACTACTAATTCAACGTGGGAAACAATATCTCAAATATTATTATCTCAAAATGTATAACATATGCGAAGTTTGGCAAAATTATATATAATAGTAATTTAAATAAATGGTATTTTCTACTTGGAAACGGATATATTTCACATTTAAATCTGGAATCTTCAATTATATTTGAAATCAACAACACCGAGCAAAGCGCTGAGAAACATATATAAACACTCCGATATTGTCCTCTCTGATATTACCGAGCAATCGTCGCGGGAACATCTGTACTGAATTTCAATACACAATTTTATTACCGTTGCTGACGTGCCGAAAATCACACATTGTTTTTCAAGTGTTATTACAGATTAAATACTAGGAAACTTAAACAAATATCGACATGAGCAATCCAAATAGACAAGTGTTTGTGTATTACGGCCAACGCAATCCCGAACATTACAATCAGTTTTTTAATCCTAACATCTGTCACGTTTGCAAATCGGTGGACAAAGGCAATCTGATATTGTGTAATCGTTGCTGCTTGATATCGTACTGTAGCGATCAGCATAAAGATCAACACCACTCGGAACACCAGGAAATCTGTATGATTGTAACGCAAGTTTTGCAAGTGACACCGCAGAGGGACACGCGCACGTTCAGCAACTGGCAACAATGGATCCAATCGAGGAAAGAAGCGATGGAAACGATCCAGCAGAAATTTTACCGTCCAATGGAGAGGTACGAGAGGCAAATGATCTTGTGGTCGAAAACGTGTGTTGTTTGTTACCAACAGGCCGGACTGAAAACATGCCAAAGATGCTACTCCGCTAATTATTGCGATAAGCACGCGAAAGCTTTTCGCACGAGACACAATGACGCCCTGTGCGATCGGCTGATGTTATTGCTCAATATAGATATCAAAACTATCTCTGGTCATACAGCTAATATATCGTACGGATTCCTCCCATTTGTTCATGAGAGGAGCCGTTTCGAAGAGATGCTTGAATTTTGTATGGACTATGTATTGAGGCGAAGAAGGACACACGTGGATTGGCTCGCTAAAGACTACGTTCGGTCTGATTACCTTTCGGGACCATTGACGATCTATTCTGGACTGAAAAGTTTGAATTTATTATATATTTTACGGCGGCCTGTTATTGTCATTCATATTTTAGGTTCTAATTCCTTGGATAGACGCGATGTATCCGCTTGGGAAATCTTGTTACACCTTGTACCTGAAATTACAAATCTAGAAATTGTAATGATAGGACCGAAATTAGAGCATGTCCGTTACGAATGTGTCGATCTTTGTGAGCAATGTGTAAATAGCAAAAAGGAGTATTCTGCTTACGCAGTCCCTATGTTGTATTACGATTATATAGAGTCGGCCAGTATATATGGAGATCCAGATGTGATCATAGGATTTCATATAGATATTAAGAATGAGGACAGGTGGTTAGAATCTGTATTTCTAATGTTTGATCTAATTCGTCCGCTATTTTTAAGTTTTTCGTGTGAAGAAAAAGCCCTAAGAAACATAAGTAAGATACAAGAAATTATCGGGATGAATATAGAGCCTACTTTTAGCGAAAGGAATCACTTTTGCGGCCTCGCCCCGCACAGAGACATCGATACCGGCAATACGTATTTTCGTAACGAACATTTAATCATTTACAATAATATTGCACTCATACCTTCGGACGTGCCCAGTGACTGACGTATAATTGTACTATTGCATTAGTAGCATTATCGTAAACCAGATTAAATTGTTATTCCATGTAATCCATAGATGTTTTTAATCAAAATTACCCTTTTTAATTAAAGTTATGCTGTTATTCATTAAGATATTATTGCACTAGTCGTAAATATGACGGTGGAATAATGATGACACTCTATACGGAGCGTCTGACCATTAATAACACAATGTTAATAAATAATATCATTGCTGTACTATGAGATGACGTGAGGCAGGAAGTACGTTGCTGTCATTAATTTTATTCCCCTGGAATATATATATACATTCTGGGGCAATGAAATTAATGAAAACAGCCTACTTCCTCCCTCATGTCATCTCATGGTACAGCGATATTATTTTTTTGTCCGCTTGAACGTTCCCATCACGTCTTCGTCTGTCACGTGGGATGTACCGAGTGGAAAAAAGAGGCAAACGCGCGCGCGAAAGAGAGAGAGAGAGAGAGAACCGCGCTACCGTTCCAAGGAACTTGACAAAGATGCCGCCGTATGTGCCAGCTTATTACTGCATGTGCTCGTTAACCCGCCGGGGTTATTGAGACAATTAATGTGACGTTTCCAGTCTTCGGGTCCGGCTCGGTGCGAATTCACTGGTGTATTCCAATTGGATCCGTTCATCATTGGCTCGTCTCGGTGCGTCCCGCTCGTGGTGGCAATTAAAGGTTGCATCGCTAATTAACATCTGGCTGGAGTGGTCGTCGACTGCTGCTTCAGCGAATTCCTGTCGAGCCGCTTTTCAATGTGCGAACAGAGTGCTGCCTTCTACCAAGAGAAAGAATCTAGATGGATATCCCAAGATTTTACGGTTCCATGGAAGAACCACGAATAAAAATATGACATCTGTTTCTTCCGCCTCGTCGAGTGTAAATGCGGAAGAAAAGAACAATAAATTGAATGATAAATTTGCGAGAAGATAGGACTCTTAGGCCTGTATTCATAGTCGGATCTTATATTTAAGACCGTTTCAAGTTCATCTTCGATGTTTCGTAGCCAATGAAACGAGCCAGGGAGCATCTGAAGATAAAGTTAAGGCGATCTTAAATATAAGATCCGACTATGAATGCCGGTCTTAGACTTACGATCAAACTTACGTAATAATAAGTCAATGACAGTCCAACGTACGGAAGTCAACGAGAAAAATAAAATATTTACTGTTGTAATATGACCAAAAATAATAACAATGTATGAGTGACTAAATTTTTAAAATGTAATATTCTTTGCGCCTGTAAAGAACACTATGGAAAATTTTCAAAATATTTCGTGAAATGAAAATAAATAAAATACATAATAAAGTGAAACTTTCTAGTCGATAAAAGCACAATTGAGAATGTTCATTCGAGGATAGTTTGAGTATATTTACGACACGAGAGACATATTGACAAAGTGTGGGTGTTTCTTACAAGTTCCGCCAAAAGTATCCTGTAACAATCGAAAGGCGTTCGAAGTGGCGTACTTCGAGTTTTAAATCGCTTTCGAACCAACAGCAGCGATATAATTCCCGTTAAGAGGAGATCATCTATCAAGACTCCAAACTGATACGGGAGGACTTACGGAGAAGATAAAACGAAACCTTCAAAGAATTACTGATATATCTTAAAGTCTCGAAAAACTCGTTCGTGCGCGAAGAAATGACGAGCTTTTGATTTCCAAACGAACGCCGTAACGTTACATTCGTGAGAAATGATTCTGCAAACTTGATCCGCACTTTTCGGACTGAATCGATTCGGGACGCCCGAAAGCACGAGGACGGCGCTGCGTCGGAATGTTAATTGAGTCGTAATTTCCGTTCGAGTGCGAGGAAGAAATGACGGCTGCCAATAACGTACTGATACGAGTAATGAGGATAATCGCGACGGAAAGATAAAGAGAGAGAGAGAGAGAGAGAGATGCGTGTCTGAGCGCAGACATCCGTCGACCTGTACTATATTATGTACGTTAGAAGTGGCGTTCTATCTCGGCTCGTAGGAAGGCGAAGAGAACGCTGAAAGATAGTGAAATTTAGTTGCAGGAGGTAATCCAGCCTTTACTGCCTTTTAGACAGCATCAATCCAGCAGGTGGTTAAGTATTAGGGCGGCAGTAAAACCGGATTCATCAGCAGTCCTGGAGCATTCATTATTACTGCCATTCCCTCTCTCTCTCTCTCTCCCAGTCCGCTGTAAAACTGAAATTAGTTCTGCACTTTTACCCGCGACGGCACGTAGATCGTTTCGAGCACGCCGCGCTATCGTACGTAAGGCGCGAGACGAAATCCCCTGGCGGGATTGAACGTCTATTTATAACTGGATAATAACGACGGCATAGGAACGGTACGTTTCTATAAAAAGTTCCGATGTGTCCAATAACAAACAGCATATATATCGAGCTGGTGGTTCCGATGAAAGTGACCATAGAGGTGCAAAAGGTTTCGTTCGATTTATCGGTGCGCGCACGGTGCACCGTTCGCACGTCGCCACTGAGACTCCCCGATATTTACGTTTTATTAATAACGCGACCACGTCATTGCACCTCGTCGCTCGAAATTAAAAGAAAAAGATCGCGGGTCGGGTAAGATTAAAGTCAACTTGCTATTAATAACTGTTAATCCGCTGGTCGTTCTCCGCCGTGCTAAACGCGTCTGGTTCCGTTTAAACTTTAGGGGACGCCGCAAATAAAAGAGATTAGATTCTTGAAATAATTTCAGAAGGAGTGAACTTTAACAGAGGATTCGAATTAAAATTTATTAGTTATACATATATAATTATTAGTTATATAAAATTATAATTTAGTTATTAAAAATTAACTTAGTTATGGATGACAAGATAGACGATATTAAAAATGATTGAAGTGCGATAAATGCGATGTCCTGTCCTGATATATACTTATGAGGATTTTCGACGCAAATTGAGCTCCAAAATATGTTTTGAAGTTATATACGATAATTTTGGGCATCCCGAATAAGAGATTAATATAAAAGTAGTAAAAAATAGTAATAATTTATTAAATAATGTAATACAAATTATAATATGTATCATATATTGCTCAGGACGCATGTACGATATATTTACATGTTGGTAAGGAAAGTTTATTCGGATATTCCATTTGGTAACGGACATTCATATTTCGTTGTATCTTCAAATTAAGATTGTCAACACAAATCCCGAGGTATGTAGAAGTGCTTGTAAATACAGGCTTTGTGCCTTTCAAGCAATCGCCTAGTATGTGTTGTCGAAGAGAATTATTGCCTATCTGAAGGTGAGATATCTGAAGAGAATTTTATTACTTCTACTAAATCGTCAAATTTCTAGATATATTTACATATGGTATATAATAATTGTGTAATTATCAGAGAATTATAATAGGGAAGTAAAGTGTTAATATTTTTCAAGCAGGTTTCCAAAACATCGTATTACACTTTAATAACATATTCTGACTCTAAGTATACACAATAATAAATTGAGAAGTCAAAATTTCTCGAGTTGGTCAATGAGAAAGACGATTTTCTCGCATACCAGATGCGTCTGAAAACGTCTTCTGTAAAATATACGACTCACCATTACCGACTGATACCACTGTTTCTTTCAATGACTTCAATACACCTTCGATACTTCGTCGCTTGGACATCGACCGTCTCATTTCTCCGACGCGTGTCACGAAACGAAAAGTCAAGTGCGAAAACTTGATGATTATCTGAAGCAGTTGGGCCGTCTCAACACATCGGCAGTGATTCAGAATGCCAGAAGGAGGACAAAGGAAAGGGAGAGGAGCAGAGGGAGAGAGAAAAAGAGAGAGTCCTATCCAAGAGGAGGTTGGTAGGGTAGCAACGAGTAATTTATGGCGCAAGTTTTGATAAAGTGCGCGCGTTTAGGGTGGAACTTTAAAATATTAAAATAGCCGCGGCGATACGATGGGCTCGAATCGCGACGGGAGATTTATCATGCGCCGGAGATACCGACCAAAAAGCCCCATCGTATATACCGGGTGCGACACAACAGCGCGGCACAACATTCCCCGCGGTCGGAGAATCCGCGGTAACCTCCCCTCCCCCGGACCCTTCCCGGCTCGTCGTCGCACGCGAATCATGAATATATCGACGGGGTTTAGGATTCGTCCGCGATTTCGATCGTTCCGGATCCGCGTTCAAATCGTGCTGCACCGAATGACGATGCAATAAAAAAAACAAACAAAAAGCAGAGAGAAGGAGAGAGAGAAGGGGGGGGGGGGAGGAAACGTTCCACGATGAGATTCCAATCGTTGTCGCGATCCACGAGTTAAACGTTGTTCAGATAAAATCCGTCCGGATAAAATCTGACAGCGGGAAACGATTCACGTTGCCCCATAACCGGTTACGAGTGTCAAAGTGGATTGGGCGTTCAGAAGAAACGAGCCTCCGCAGTTTTAATCGATAATAACACTTGACAAATATAGCGCATTATTCGAGGATGTTACGTTACCAGCTCGATCTTCGTAATTAACGAAATCTCAGCTGTAAAGATTCGGTAAAGTGAATATAAATGCGGGCCAATGACGCTTCGAATCCTGATTTAGAGTGGTTCCAATTTGTAAATATGAACACAAGCATCGTAAAAAAACAATATGTGTCTTTTATTTTTCACTGTTCCAAAGCTCACGAAAATCAATAAGAGATATTTCCGTCAGTTCCTTCAGCAAGTAAATGTACGGAGAAAAAGTTCCTTTGGATTTAGTATATGCGTTTGTTTGACCTGAGTTTGTTTAATATAAGCAATATAATTTAATATCAAATATCATTTTCTTTGAGTGAAAATGTTGTTTCATTGGAGTAAACCATGTTGTTTTATAGAAAAAAAAAACAACAAACAAACATTGAGAAAATAATATTTGATTCCTAATAAAAAATAATTTCATTGCATATTATGTTTTATTAAATATTATTACATTAAATATTATTATATTACATTTCATTAAATATTATTCCACTGAAACAAAGATAAGTTCTTTAATGTTTT